TAAGGAAAAATACGTATTTTACTAATTATAATTAGTAAAAAATTTAAGCGTTGCATTATTTTTGATTGCCACTGTATCTAAAAAATAATATTATTTAAAATTTAATATTAATTAAAAAATAATTATTAAATAATAAAGTAATTTTTTAAGTAAATTAAAAATAAAATAATTTTTATTTTATAATATTATATTTAAATTATATATTTATATTTATTTTTAATAATAATAATAATTATATTATATTTAGCAAAAATATTTTAGTTATAAATTAATAAATTTAAATTTAGATAATAAATAATTAATTATATAAAATACTTTCTTTTATATTAAATAATTTACTATAATTAATAATATTTTTAATAATAAAAAACTTTTGAAATTTATAAAAAAAATTAAATAGATATTAATAAATTAGAAAAAAGTAATATTAAAATATAATAAATATAAAAAAATTAATTAATATTTTAAAATCTGATTTTTTTATTTAAAATATTAAATTTATAATTTTATTAATAAATATTATAATTTAATATATATTTTTTTGGATTTTTCTAATTAAAAATAAAATTTAATTAGAAAAAATTTTTGTAATAATTTTGTAATTAGAATAATTTCAGAAAAATCTAAAAAATTTGAAAAAATATATATTAAATTATAATATTTATTAATAAAATTATAAATTTTAATTTTTACTATATTTTATTAATAAATTTGATTTCATAATATATAATATTTAACAATTACTATATATTTGATATTATTAATAACTATAATTAGATTTTATAATTAAATTTTTTATAATTAAAAATCTCTTTATAATTATATCTTTTATAATCTTTTAATTTTACTTTTAAATATAATAATTAAAAAAAAATTAACTATATTAGAAGAATTAAAAGATTTTTGAATCTGTGTAAAAAAGAAATAAGTATAATAAGAAATAGCATAAGATATAATACTACACTAAAATGTAAAGTAATTAAAAACATTTTTAAATATATAAAAATTTTTATTTTTATATAATAAATGCCAAATTTTCAATCACATATAAAATTTAAAGTTTGAAAATTATAATTAACAAAAACTCCGTTTTAGCAGAATTGTAGCTTAGACAAAAAGCAACAAATCTGTATGAGGGATTTTTGTTATAATTATTTTGTTTTTGAGTTATATATTACTAAGATCACATGAAAATCGCCTTTAACGCCATTTAGTAGACCCCGGCAAGATAACCTGATTCAGCGCTGTCCCTAAACACTGTCCGCAGGCTTCCCGTTAATGCTTCCCCATCAAAAAGCTTGATATAGTGGAGATGGATTAATTTTTCAGCCATGGAAAAACAGAAACATCATAAATGTTGCCTTACCATCTTTAGAAAGGTTGTTCACAAAATATTCGCTGATCTCATAAAAATTTACAAATAAAATATGAACTCGAGAAACGAAACCACCAAATTCGAACCTTTAACAACCTCTTCATTAATGACAGAACTAGAATCAGCTTCTTTACTCGAGGAAAGTGAAACCTATCATACTTCAATATCTGGCTCAAGTGGCCAAGAAATACTGCTGAATTTACTATCCAACTCTTTAGACACATCAATCATTGACAATGAGTGGTCAAAGGATTACTTGAACCGATTGGCATCTCTTTCGCTTGAATCGTTAAAACACGAACCAACGTTGATAAAAGAAGAAGAAACAAAAATTCAATCGGAGTTGGCGGAACTTTCATTTCGTGAATATAAGTCATTTATCCAGGCAAGCGAATGTAAATCGAATATCCAGAATTCTCTTGAAAATTGTAAAACGCATTTATCAAAGTTATCCAACGCGATACCGATTTTCGAAGAGAATTGCGAGTCTTTTATTATAGAAACCGAAAAGATCATGAGACAGCGAACAAAAATAAACACGATAATAGAACAGCATGGAAATCTCTTGGATATTCTGGAGATACCACAACTGATGGACATTTGTGTACGAAAAGAGCTCTATTCTGAAGCGATAGATTTGTCAGCACATGTAACGCGTCTAATAGCGAGATACCCGAAAGTTCAGATAATTCAGCGAATTGAGAATGATGTCAAAGATACAATGCAATTGATGTTGTCAAGGCTGATTGCACTGTTAAGTGAACCGATAAAATTGCCTAGTTGCTTGAAAGTTATTGGATATTTACGAAGAATGGAGGTGTTTGATGAGGCGGAATTGAGGCTTGTATTCCTGCTATCAAGAGATTCATATTTACAATTAATGATTAAAGGAATAGACAATGAAAAACGATATCCAATTCATTATCTAAAGAAATATATAGACATTTTTCGAGAACATTTTTTTGATATAGTGACACAATATCGTTCCATTTTTTCAGATGATGGAATTTCTTCTGCGCTTGGTTATTCTACCCCTTCTACGCCGACCTCACCTTCTTCCCCTAGAATACCATTACGTTCTGTTGATTCACCATCGTCTTCATCATCATCGTCATCATCATCTGATGGTAACATCTTTTTGGCTAGATCAACTTTAAGTGCTAATGCAGTACTTTCTGATTACACTGCACACATTCTTGGACATTTGACCGGTACTTTAGCAGAGTTTATACCTTTAATTTCGGACACTTCTTCTCTTTCTTCAATCCTCACTCAGTTGATGTACTGTGGAATGTCGCTTGGGCGAGTTGGTGTGGATTTTCGACATCTGGTGACTGAATACTTTGAAATAGCAGTGTTAAGAATAATCAGAACAATGATCTCGGAAACAACAAATGATTTCATAGAACAATTTGAAGATGCTATGAGGAAAGAACATTATTCAAGTTCATGGATGATTGATGAAAAGAAAACATCGTTATCAAGCTACATGGATTCAGTTCCCTCTTTACGTACAGTGGCCTCATTTACCACATCATCTGTACCCTCTTCTGCCTCCTCTTTTACCCCATTAGTTATCTTGATGGATTATCCGCCGATAGGACACTTGACTAATGGGTATCTTAGTGCTTTCAATTCGCTTCGTTTACTGGCACCCGTATCATTATATCATCCGCTTGGTTCTCACCTTTCCAACAGTCTTGCGTCGATAGCAGATGTATTACGTCGATACGGTGATAAGCTTATTGAAGGTCAACATAATACTGTGATTATGCAAGTTTTTTCTGCTACTTTTGCAAAGATTTTCGTGCCATACATCACAAGATGCTATGTGGATGGGGTGTACGGTGGTTTGATGATGAAAGTAAGCGGAAATGATGATGAGACTTTAATCGAAGAATCTAATGGTGTGAATGCTTTCTCTATTGTTAATCAGGCTTACATTTTGGATGCGCTTAAAGACTTTTTGTCTATCGAGCATCAAAAGAGATGACTCTCAAAATACGATAACAGCTCAACAAAAAGAATTTTTATTGTTTCAAACGCTTAATTTATATACTCGCAAAATTTTTATTTTTTAATTTCTTCTCCCTGTATTTGTAAATCAGCTCTGAAACTTTGACAGTTTCGGAAATGTACTATTATCATCATTATGTAGTAATTATAATATAAAACACCAAACACATTTTTTTTACATTCACACACAAATAATTCTTTGTGTTTATTAATATTCAGCTGGTAATTCAGCAGACGGAGGACCGTATATCTGTCCACATCTATTTTCGAATGCTTTCACCATCAGCGTACTAACTTGATCAAAGAACATATTAGAGACCTGTGCATGCAATGGCGAAGCAAACTCGAATTCTAGCTGAAAGTTGAGAAAACAGTGTGTGGCGGGATATATATTGTGTGGCCTAAATCGCCAGATGGATACCAAATGCCGGAAAAGTTTGTCTGATGATGCTTGAGCCTTGGAGGGTGGGTAGTAATAGTAGTAATAACAGTGAGTTAGTATTTAGGAAATTTTAGAGATAGAAAAAAGATTCTCGGGATAAAGAACACCTTTACGAATTTTGGGCGATGGCATGTAACCTCCGAGATATAGGTCTCTTCGAACCCTTGAAAACCGACCCCTAGTTCAGCAGTCATAAAGTCATTGGCACTATCTAACTGTTCATGTGAAAGCACGGTTGAATTGGTGCAGAAAGGAACAAAGAGGTGGTAGTCATTAATATTTGCTACCACTTCATAAAGCTGTGACTGTGAGTATCTATAGTATATGGATAAATAATAATTTATTAAAAGAAAAAAAAACTATATTCGAAAAATCTAGCGTTTATCATGATTATTACTACTGTAAAATCTTCACTACACCAACCCTATTATTTTTTCACCGGTGTACTGTTTCTGAGAGGATAAAAGATCATTTAACTTCGGTATTGTAAAAAACAAACAGCGCTGAGCTTTATTGAAATGTGAATGTGTTATTATTGATGGTGGTAATGGATTAGTATTATTTAACAGTCCTGACCGAAAAGATGTTAGATTTTTGAGAGATAATAGCGTTCTCGTATACATCTTTTAGAGTTGTTTTTGTTGCTCCAATCATAATTTTTGATTGTTGCGAGTACCTTCCCAGTTAAAATCTTGTAATACGCAGAATTTTAAATATAATTTTGTTTATTTCAATGGTTTAAGTGTGATCTAAATCTACAATGCTTTACGACATATATAAATGGTGAGAATTGAGTGGGCGGAAATTTAGCTTGGAGAGAATAAAAGAGCTCAATCATCTATCTATTTTTATTATGAATCTATGAAAATAAGCGGATTCATAAATCAGCAGTTTGAACGACTTGATCTCTTCTGATAAAAGAAATTCAAGGAATTTAAGAATAACAATATCAGATGACCCTTCTAATTTGCACGATAATGTGATATTTTGTTATTGAATTTTGTTTCTTGTAAAAGAAATTCATTCCAGATATTATAATTCAAAGTTTAGATTGACACACAAAAAAAATTAAATATTTTTGATAGTTTGCAATAATCATTTGCTTTTTAGATGTATATGATGTGAATTTTAATTGGTTGCCTTGATCAGCTGCGTCATGATCACTTATAAACTTATCGAATCAATATTAAAAAAATAAAAAAATGTCTAAGCAAGAAAGAAAGAATAAATCATCTTCGAAGAAATCAAATCAAAATCAAAAACGGAATTATAACTTAAAGATTCATGCATTAAATGAAAAATCATCAACAAATTATTCCAGATATGATGCTTCCCCTCTTTCAATGTCATCATCATCATCTTTTTTATTACCCACAAACAATACTATTGATCAAACTGTTTCCTCTTCAATAATTTCAATAGTAACCCCGATTACATCATCATCAACAACATCGCTGTCGTCATCATCTTTAGTTTCTTCTGCTACTAAGAAACCTAAACCATCAAAAAATACACATGTTATATCTTCGTCATTGCAGGTAACAAAAACACTCTTGGGCGTGCCGGATGGGAATATCCCAACAAATCATGATACAGATCCATACGTGACAAAGATTGGTGGAATTCCAAATTGGCTTGCTTCATCATCTTCAACCTCATCACCAGAATTATCCAGATCGTCAATGCCTTCTTTCGACGTGGCAATATGTGGTAATTGTGGCAAAGAAATGTTTTTATTATTTCAGGGTTATGTGCCATTAGATCGGTCGTCATATGATCGTGTTATTTATGTCTGGGGTTGTAATCAAAAACGATGTATGCGTAAATCTGGAAGGTATTAACTATTTTAATACAACTACTTATTGATCAAATTAATGAGTTGATGATTTTAATTCGATATTTTTAGTTTTCGTGCTATTCGTGCACATCAATTGAACAAAGAATACGCACAACAATTACGTCAGGATAAGGAAAAATACGCGAATGCTATCGTACCGCCAGCATTTAATGTAGTTATTGACTTTTTTTAATTTTTTATATCATTTTCCATTTTATGGCAATTTTTTTTTTAATTATCTGATTTGTATTTAAAAAGTTGAAAGAACTGATATCGTCAATCGATAACCATGATAACCATTCAAATATAGCATCGTTATCAGTACCGTCAATTGAGGACACGACAACAACAAATGACTATGAGTATCCCAGACTTGAGTCTACTGTGCATAGAAAAATATCAGAAATTGTATGTAAAAAAAATATATATATATTTTTTGCTAATTGAGCCTTTATTAATAAGTATGAATCAAACTCAAAAAGTCGCCGTCTAAAAATGAAATTCTACCCAATAATCATAAGAAAAGTGATTCACTTGCACCATCCAAAAACTGGAGTCAAATTGTATCCGAAGGAGTGACTACAAATTACAATAAAGATGAAAAAGCATCCCCACATGATATAAATGACCTTTCAGACCGAATACAAAAACTCGGATTAGTAGTTGACTCGTCATCCGATTTCTTATCATATAAAGGTGAAATTACTCTACGAGATCACGCTATTGAATTTCTCATTTATTTATTTAATAAACATTTTCATAGAATGGCCAAGGTCAATACCCTATTTCCCTGCACAATATCTATACATCACCGAGGAAATTCTCGGGAATACTCAGAGTTCCAGCCTTTTGAAAAAATACGAGCACTATTTAAATTACGAAGACTACAATAATTATGAGGCTGACGGTGACAGAAACTTGGGCGAATGGGCTGGCGAAAAGTACGAGAAATCCGTGTTACCTAAAGGTGTTGATAAAGCATTTAGAAAGTTCTCAGAGCGTGTCGCAGAATGGCCGGATCAATGTGTTCGGTGAGTTCTTTATTATTATGATAATAAACAATACGTTAAATATTTTTTTGTTAACTACTAAATTTATCAATATTAGGTATGAGTTTGGTGGTCAACCCTTACTATACAATCAAAATTACTTGACACGAATTCCGCCATGTAAGAATTGTGGAAAAGATCGAGTCTTTGAATTCCAATTAATGCCAAATATTCTATACGCATTATCTACAAGTCATTATGCAAAAGTCCAGGGCGATGATCATAATAATATTTATCAATTTGATCTCGGAATGGAATGGGGCACTGTGATGATATTTACGTGTATGAATGATTGTAATAATCATGCTAATGATGTCAATGAAAATAATAACACCAAAACTTCTTATTATGAGGAATATGTTTTTGTACAATATGAAGATTTATAAAACCGTATCGACGCGTAACAAAGCATTATACTCAACAATCACGTGATTTTTCAATTTCTAAAAAGAAATCAAAAAGTCAAAAAGCTATGTGATGTGTTTATGATTAAAGAGTAATAAAAAGTAATATTATAATAAATATTAAAAGAAAAAATAATTATCTTTTGTATAATATTATTATTTATTCTTAATTGATTAGATAAATTAATAAATCAAATATAATATTTAATTAATTAAAAATAATATAAGAATAATATCAATAATTATATTTACTTGAGTAAATAAGATTTGTAAGTGAAAATAAAAAGAAGAATGGTGATAATCTGTTAGTAAAATATAAAGTAATTATAATATAATTTTTAATTATTTTCAAATAAAGTATATAATAAGTTTATAATAAATAAGATTATAATATTTTTACTAGTTAAATAAGTAATTATAATTATTAAGTATGAATAATAAATATATAAAAAGATAACTTTTACTAGTTAAATAAGTTAAAAGTAATTATAAAATATAAAAGTAAAATATATTAGAAATATTTGTTAACTTCTTAAATTTTTATTAATATCTGTTTATAAATTAATTTAATTAATTGATTTGATTTATTAATTATAAAAATTTTTTTTATATTATATTAATTTATATTTATATGAAATTTATAATTAATTATATAATTTAATTAATAAAATATTAAGTATTATATTAGATAAATTAATTATATATTAAGTATAATAATAATTTAATTAATATAATATTATCTAATTAGTATTTTATTATATGTGAATTAGAATATTAGTAAGAAATTAAGAAGTAAAATATATATTTAAGATAATTAAAAATATAATTTAATTATTAATTAAATAATTAATAAAAAGATAAATTATAAAAATAAAAATTAAAAATAAATAAAAATAAAAATTAATAATTAATATAAATTATAATCTAATAATAAAAAGATTGATATATTAATATAAAATTAATAATATTTTTAATAAAAATTATTCAAAGTTTAACTAATTTTTATAATTTTTTTATATTAAATAAAAAATAATCTAAATTAATTTTTTATACTATTTTAAGTATTTTATTATACTTTATTGTAAGATTATTTTGTTAATGATTATAAATAAGATAAAATGTGATATGAATAGTTTTAATTTTATAACTTATGATTATTTTTATTATTTAAAAGTACAAAACAGAGAGGTCTTATTTATAAGAAAAAAATAAATACAAAATGTGAATAAATTAATATAAATTTCTAATTTAAATTATATATAGATTAAACAGAATTAATTAACTTAATTCATATCTCCAGAGGGTAACTAATCATAATTCAATAAGTAATGATAATTATAAATATAATAAATTAAATATAAATAATAATAAAGAATGAATGAATAAAATTATAAAGAAAATATTAATAATCTAAATTAATAATTGTGATATATATAGTAATTATCTACATAATAATATGTTAAATCTAATGTATTAAATGTATAATAATTATCTATATATTCTGAATGAAATTGATTTTCTTAAAAATATAATACAAAACTAATCTGTAATACAGATAGTATAAAATAAAGATCTAAATTAAAAGAAGATAATCTAATTAAAATTATTATAAATTTTTTTAATTTCATAATTTTTCAAATTTTAGATTTTTGACTAATTAATCAATCTTTTAGAAAATATATAATTTTGAATAATTTAATTAATATATTAATTATGAATTCAGTTACAGTTCAGCAATATTTTTGTAATATTTTAGTAATACTTCAGAATTATATATATGTAATTAGCTTAAAAGTTAATAACAATTTATAAATAATTTATTAACAATTCAGAAATATTTTAAAAATAGTTCAGAAATGAATTTTATTTATTTTTCTTAATTATCTTTTCTTTTTAGAATATTTATCTTATCTTTATATTTTATTTTATTATTTGTATTATCTTTTAACTTATTATATATATTTTATCTTATTATTTTACTTATTTATTTATAATTCTTCTATTCTAAAACTTATAACTATAAAATAAATTAATAAATAAGTTATGAGTAGAATTTAAATAAAATCTGTAAAATCTCAAAGATATATAAATATCTCTATTCTTAAATATAAAATAAATATATTTGAATAGTAATAATTTAATTATTTTTAAAAATACTTGAGTTTTACTTATCTTATAATTTTTTTGTATTCTTTATCTTGATATTTTACTTTCAATTATCTTTTTTATCATAATAAATTATATTCTGATTAATCATATATTTTTTTTATCTAAAAAATATAAATAGTAAATATTTTTCATTTAAAATAAGCCAAATATATTTTATTTGATTTATGAAGATTCTTGTAAGCTTTTCTATATATAAAAGTTTTGATTTGTTTTTGATATATATTTATTATTATCTAATAATTAAAAGATACTATTAGAGAGTTTAACCAACATACTAAATCTTTAACTTTATTTATAGTAATTATTATTTTAGTTTTTATGATTATAATTTCTTTTTGTTTTACTTTGTTTTTAATTTATATTAATATAATACTTATAAGTATTAGTACTAAAAAATTTTTAGGATAATCATAATTTCATTTATCTTTATAAATAATTTAGTTTTAGTTCTTAAAATTTATTATAGACTATATTCTTGATAAAATTTATCTTTATAAATATAATTTATAATATTTGATATTTTTTTTATAGAATTAAAGCTTTAAAAATCTTTTTTAACTTATTTTTATTATTTTATTTATTATTTATTTATTATTTTAAGAATTAGCTATTCTTGAAATATTTTTTTTATCTAAATAATTAATTAATTTATGAATATATACTATAATAATGAATTGATAAGTGGAATTTTACTTGAATTTATCTTAATAATATAGGCTTGAAAGAGACTAAAATAATAAAAGAGTAAAGAGAAAGAAATTAGACTATACTTTCAATAATGATAATGGTTTTTAAGATCTGTATCAATATCTACAAATATTATCTTAAAAAGAATAATTAAATAAATAAAGAAGAATTAAATAAGAGAAATTATAAAGATAAACTGAGTGAAGCCACTAGTAATCAATATAATTCAAGATTTGAATTAATTAAATAGCAAGCTATTAATCAAAGAAGACTATAACTAATAAAAGATAAAAATTAAAGTATAAAAACTAAATAACTAAACAAAAATAAAAGATATGACTTATTTATAGTAGAGATCATCTACTCTCAAAAACAATAAAAAAAATAAAACAAAAGTATAACTTATTTATAGTAGAGATCATCTACTCTCAAAAACAATAAAAAAAATAAAACAAAAGTATAACTTATTTATAGTAG